TGGTTTTTACAAAATAATTATTCGGGAACCTTTAAAATATGCTCAGAGATAAAAACAGGGTTTAAAATATTGAAAACCACGGAGTTGGTTCGGGCGCCAAAAAACCGAACGCCGAAAACCGAACGACGAAAGCCGAACGCCGACTTAGGTGGTTTTGGTTCTGAGCAAGGACCAGGGATTTTAATAATAAAAGAAGTCATCAAAAAATGTCTGTTTTGATGCACAAAAAATGTTTTATGGTTTGTAAAAATTGTTTTGACTTTTTGAGAACCGAGACTTGAATAAATTGTCGGTTTTGATCACAAAAGACCGACTCGACTAAGTATTCAATTCTTGATCTTGTCCTTGAGTCTTTTAGGTCTTGTTCCAAGCCATTCTTCACGCCTTGAGTTATTCAACGAAACTCTTCATATCCACGGTGGTTTGGCAATTATCAAAACCTGTCAGAAATGAACACGACTTTAGTTTAACGTGCAAAGTGTGTTCCAACAACATTATCTCTGGCAAATGGCTTTTTAGACACAAACTTAGCCCTATAGGAGAACTGTCCAGGTACAAAGCTCGATGGGTTGTTCGCGGTTTTTATCAGCGGCATGGAATTGATTATGACGAGACTTTCAGCCCAGTGGTCAAGCCAGCGACTATACAAATCATTCTCAGTCTTGCTGTGTCTCGTGGGTGGCCGATTCATCAATTGTATGTCAAGAATGCTTTTCTACATGGAGAACTCACTGAGACGGTCTACACGGCTCAGCCATCCTGGTTCCAAGACCCATCTCAGCCACATTATGTCTGTAAATTGAACAAGGCGCTCTATGGACTGAAATAGGCGCCTCGGTCCTGGTACCAGCTCTTCACCAGCTTCCTACTATCTCTTGGGTTCCGTGGCTGCAAGAGCAACACTTCCTTGTTCGCATTTGGCCAAGGGTCTCAGATGGCTTTTCTCCTACTATACATAGATGACATCATTCTCACAGCCTCCTCACAGGGCCTACTTCAGACGGTCATCCAGCACTTGAAGGGGGAGTTTGCCATGACTGACATGGGGGACCTTCACTTTTTCCTCGGCATTAATGTTCAGCGCACCGCTCAGGGCCTATTTCTCACACAGACACAGTTCCTGTATGACATCCTAGATCGGGCGGGCATGCTATCCTGCAAACCGGTCTCCACCCAGGTTGACACACGGGGTAAGATGTCGGCCTCCGGAGGATCACCCGCCGCGGACCCCTCAATGTACTGGTCCATCGTTGGGGCACTACAGTACTTGACTTTCACTCGTCCGGATATCACTTACGCAGTCCAGCAGCTATGCCTCTTTCTACATGCACCACGCACGTCCCACGTCACTGCTATGAAGCGGGTCCTTCGGTATCTCCATGGCACACCTTCCCACGACATCTCCATCACTCCGTCGCAAACAGACAACATGTGCGCCTACTCCGATGCCGACTGGGCTGGATGCCCAGACACTCGGCAATCCACATCCGGATATTGCATCTTCCTTAGCGACAACCTCATCTCCTGGTCCTCCAAGCGCCAACTTACCACGTCCAGATCCAGCACCGAGGCTGAATACAGGGCAGTAGCGAATGCAGTTGCCGAGGTCAGTTGGATTCGGAACCTTCTCCTAGAGCTTCAGCAGCCTCTTAGCCGCTCCACACTTGTCTTCTGTGACAACATTAGCGCGGTCTACTTATCTGCAAATCATGTTAAGCACCAGCGCACGAAGCATATCGAGGTTGATATTCATTTTGTTCGTGACAGAGTAGCTCTTAGACAGGTTTGTGTACTTCATGTCCCCTCGTCACTACAGTATGCAGACATCTTCACAAAGGGTCTCCCTTCCATCATCTTCTCTGAGTTTCGGGACTGCTTGGGAGTTCGACCATCATTACCAGTGCCATCGGGAGCATGTTAAATATACTTTTACTATATTTAATATTGTAATTATTGTAATTACCATAAGTGTATAGGTTACCAAATGTGTTTCCTACCCTAACTAGGAAACCCCCATGTATATATATACACTTGTAATCTCTCTATTATTATCATTGGAAAATATTCATTCTTCAATGGGCAATGCTAGGGGTACACCAACATGGGGTACCCCAAGTGTACACCAAGCCAACACAGACACACACAGACACAAAGTGTCTGTGCAACACAGACATTGTCGATGTGGTCAAGACGAAGCACCAAGTTTCACCTAGAGAACCTACATGTGGTATTGGCTCTATCTCGCATGTCCCTCAATTTACTCCAAGATCCAAGATACTAGAAGATTCAAAGAGTGGACTGCTCCTCTGGTTCGGCATTCTTTCTCCAGTCTTAAAGCACGAGTGGGAGCCTCCACCTTGAGGACAAGGTGGTTTTTAAGGGGGTGGGAATGATACGGATAGTTAATTAGAATATTTTAATTAGTTATATTATTTAATTAGTAGTTAGTTATTATTATTTATCAGTATTTTATAGATTAGGGTTTTTGTATGGGCCCGAGCCCATTAGGTCATGTAGGTGTGGCGTCTCATCTCTATATATTGTAATCCCGTATCATTATCATTCAATCAATCAATAATCAAGAATTCTCTTATTATCTCGTTTCTCTTTTCTTGGAGCTCGGAAACGCTCGAAGTTTCCCTTCTCTCTTTGCCTCCCTTTTCTTGGAGCCCGAAGACGCTCGAAGTTCTTCCCTATCCGATACGATATTCGTATCAATTGGTGCTCTCATTGAGAGACTATGACGGACGCTTCATCAACCACGGCCGATCTCGAGGCAAAGGTCGGCGAGATGGGGCATGCAGTGCATCAGATGCAAAGGGATTTTGATTTCCGCCTAACGAGGATTGATGCAGCTTTGGCGGCCATGCAAACTAATATGGCCGCCCTGCAAGTTGGTGGTGGGGGTCGAGTAGGCCGCCATGGTGATAATCATGAAGGACCTAGGAATGGAGGTGCTCCGACGCCCAAGCCAAAATTGGAACCGCCAAAGAGTGACGGATCTGAACCGTTGCGTTGGCTCTATCAGGTTAAGGAATATTTTTCATATTATGAGACTCCACCGGAGGAACGCTTGAGATGTGTTACAATGATGCTGGAAGGACCCGCGGCCGATTGGTTTCGTTGGCGGCGGAACAACGGTTTGATCGACGGATGGGAAGACTTTGTGGAGAAATTCAAGCTGCGTTTTGATCCTCTGCACTACGTCGATTACCTAGGGCAATTAGCACGGGTACGACAGGTGGGGGGAGTCATGGACTACCAAGCAGCTTTTGAAAGGGTTCTCACCCATGTGACGGACGTTCCCGAACAACATCTACAGTCCCTGTTCCATGCCGGGCTGAAGAACCATTTGCAACATGAAATTAGTCTCCTCAAACCCACTACTCTCTCAGATTCGTTTGCCCTAGCACGTGAATTGGAGGCAAAGCATAATGCCATAGTGCAATCAGTGGGGAGCCGGAGTGGGTCGTGGAACCCTAACGCCAGCCGCAGTTTTACGCCAAGAGGGGCGGGGAACTCAACACGGGGGGTCTAACTCGACTCTGGGAAAACCCTCTATCCTAGGCAGTCCCCCAGCGGTCAGCACCAACTCACGGGAATCCACTGCTTCAACGCCCATTCGGCTACTGTCCCGCGCAGAAAAAATGGAAAAAGACGCCAAGGGCCTATGCTATAACTGCGATAAAAAGTGGAGTCGCGATCACAAGTGTGGACGGTTCGTATTAATGATGGGGGAGGAAGAGGGGGATGACGAGGAGCCTGACATGGAAGAAGAAGTAGACGTCACGGCCGACATCTCCAGTTTACACAGTATGGCAGGAGTCACCACACCACGGTCGCTACGCCCAACTGGACGGATTTCCGGGCAATCCATCGGGGTTTTGATTGACGGCGGAAGCATACATAACTTCGTTCATCCGCAAATCGTTGAGAGGTTGGGAATACCGGTGGAGGTGATCTCATCATTTCGGGTGTACGTCGGGAACGGAGACTCCCTACAATGTGATCGGCAGTGCAAATCAGTTGAGGTAATGCTGCAAGGAGTAATGTTCACAGTAGACCTCTATGTGCTACAGATCCACGGCCACGATGTGGTTTTAGGGGTACAGTGGCTCCGCCAATTGGGACAAGTAGCCCATGATTACGAGAAGGTGACAATGGAATTCACAGGATTTTCTTACAACCGGGAACCAAGCCAGTAAACGTACGTCCCTACAGGTACCCGCACTTCCAAAAAACTGAGATAGAAAAGCAAGTGAAACAATTGATGGAACAAGAGCTCATTCGGCCGAGTCGCAGCCCGTTCTCATCCCTGGTGTTATTGGTTAGAAAGAAGGATGGAACATATCGTATGTGTGTCGACTACCGTGCCTTGAACACCGTCACCGTCCCAGATCACTTCCCTATACCGACCGCCGACAAGCTATTTGATGAGCTGGGAAAAGCCAACATTTTTTCCAAATTGGATTTGCGTTCCGGGTACCATCAAATCTGTATGTTCGACCGGGACATCCATAAAACTGCATTCCGAACCCCCGAAGGTCACTACGAGTTCGTGGTCCTGCCTTTCGGTCTTACAAACGCCCCTTCAACATTCCAATCATGTATGAACCGGCTTTTTGCAGTCCATCTCCATAAGTTCATCATCGTCTTCTTCGACGACATTCTAGTCTACAGCGCCACTATGGAAGATCACCTGCACCACCTTCGGCGAGTATTCACACTATTACACGAAAATCAATTTTTCGTGAAGAAGACCAAATGCACCTTCTGTACACCGAAGGTCGAATACTTGGGCCACATCGTCACCAAAGGAGTCCTTCAAGCCGATCCTGCCAAGATAACTGCAATGGAGCAGTGGCCGACGCCTAAAACAGTGAAGCAACTGCGGGGATTTTTGGGTCTGACCGGATATTACCGGAGATTTGTGCAGCACTACGCCCAACTGGCAGCGCCACTCACTGACCTTCTGCGCAAGGATGCATTCAAATGGACGGAGCAGGCCGATGCAGCCTTCGAGAAGTTGAAGCAAACCATGACCACTACCCCAGTGTTACGATTGCCCGACTTTGAGGAAACTTTCGTGGTAGAGACAGATGCTTCCGGAACGGGGATCGGGGCCGTTCTTTTACAACAAGAGCAGCCTATAGCCTACTTTAGTAAAAAGCTCTGCCCACAACGGATGGCGGCTTCTACGTACCATAACGAGTTGTATGCAATAGTGGAATCCGTTCAAAAGTGGCACCAGTACCTACTCGGCCGGGAGTTCCTCATTCGCACCGACCACAAAAGCCTAAGGGAATTGCTCCAACAGGTCATCCAAACCCCGGACCAACACTTTTATATTCGGAAGCTTCTGGGGTTCAGATTCCGAATTGAGTACAAGACCGGCGCATCCAACCGGGTGGCAGATGCCCTATCGCGCATCCATGACACCTCTGAGGAAGTGCATACATTGTTGACTATCTCAGTGCCGGTATCCTCGCTCATGGCTGAATTACAGCAGGAGAACCAGGTGCAAGAAGACCTGGTAAAACGCCACCGGGAACATCAGCAAGGCGAGCTGGCCGAACCATACTCAGTCGTGGATGGGTTGCTGTATCACAGGAGGCGCTTATGTGTGAGCTCTACTTCTCCATTGCGGGTACAGTTAATCAAGGAGCATCACGATACAGTCATGGCCGGGCATCCTGGAGTTCAACAGACTTTCCTCCGGCTCGCACAAAATTTCTTTTGGCCGAAAATGAGGGCTGAAGTTCGAGAGTATGTTCGGGCGTGTATGGTGTGCCAAACCACGAAGTACTCTACTCAACCTCCTCCGGGGTTGCTTCAACCACTACCGATACCCACCCACGTATGGGAGGACATATCCATGGATTTCATCGTCGGCCTACCGAATTCGCGAGGTAATAGCGTCATTTTGGTGGTTGTGGACCGCCTGACCAAAACCATCCACCTGGGGGCCTTACCGGCAGATTTTGACGCCCCACGCACCGCCCATATCTTCATCGATATAGTAGTGAAACTCCATGGATTTCCAAAAACAATCATTTCGGACCGGGACAGGGTATTTTTGAGCAAATTTTGGCAGGAACTTTTGAAATGCAGTGGTACCACGTTGAAGATGAGCACCGCGTTCCACCCCAGACGGACGGCCAAACTGAGGTAATGAACCGAGGGGTAGAACAGTATTTGCGTGCCTACACTCAGGAGAAGCCCACTCGATGGACAGCGCTACTGCCATGGGCAGAGTACGCCCTCAATACCCAATTTCATTCTAGCCTGCAAATGACTCCTTTTGAAGCACTATATGGGCGGCCACCACCGTCATTCGTACCATACATTCCGGGCGAGAGCAAGGTTTTGGAGGTGGATAAGGCTTTAACCGAACGTGATCAATTGATTCGACGCCTGCGGGTGCATTTGAGGGAGGCGCAACAGAGGATGAACACCGCCGCAAACCGGCATCGACGTGACATGGAGTTTAGTGTGGGAGACTTGGTTTTGTTGAAGCTACAACCATATCGCCAACACTCGGTGGCCCGACGGAGGACACAGAAGCTTGCACAACGCTATTATGGGCCTTTCCGGGTACTGGAGCGCGTGGGTAACGTGGCATACAAACTGGAGCTGCCGGGCGGGTCCCGAATCCACCCAGTTTTTCATGTGGCTCTCCTCCGGCCTTACTATGGTACGACGCAGGTGGGCAGGCCCCAGCCTCTGCCGGACGAATTTCTCCAGGGCCAACCCGTGTCCAAGCCTGTGCGGGTGCATGCAAGCCGCCAGATTTTGCGTCAGGGAAAGCTGGTTCAGCAGTATTTGGTTGAATGGTCCGACGGTACGCGAGAAGATGCAACATGGGAGCCAAGCGAGGTGGTTCGACACTTTTACCCCGACGTACACCTTGAGGACAAGGTGTTTTCTCAAGATGGAGGGAGTGATACGGTGCAACACGAGGACGGGGAGGGCAGCGACGGACGAGCTGAGGATGACCACGAGGCGGAAGTGACAGGGACAATGGGTGAGGAGCCGGGGACGAGCGGAGCGAGATGCCGGCGTGATCGAAAGGTTCCGGCGTGGCATAAGGATTATCTACTCCATTAATTATCTTTATATTATTATTATCTTTTTAATTATTGTAATAGGTTTTTTTAGGTGAGCGAAAATATAAGCTCCTTCGAGGGTTTCTTTACGGTTCTTTACCTCGTCGCTTTTTTTGAACCGTCAGGTTAGAAAACGTAGTTAACTAGGATTGGGTTTCTATTAGGGTTTCTCTCCTTTAAAAAGAGATTCTCCCCATGCATAATACGTATGAAATATTAACCCAGTTCAACTCTACTTCCTTCTCCTTTGGCGCACGGTTTCTTGCCGGCGAATTCTTTCTTCTCTTCTTCTCTTGGTTTCTGGAGCTTGGAGACGCTCGAAGTCTCCCCAATTCGATACTTTGTCGTATCAAACACTTTGTGTCTGTGTGAGTCTGTGTTGGCTTTGGTGTACACTTGGGGTACCCCGTGTTGGTGTACCCCTAGCTTAATTCTTCTTCAATTGAGAACCGTAAGTACCGACGCGAGCTGTCACTATTAAAATGCAGAGTAATAAATTACGTAGTAGTTAATTACACCCTTTCTTCACCATTCTTATTTCCAATATTTTTAAGCTCTTCTTTCTTGGTTTTGAATTTAACTTACTTAAACTTAGAGTGTTTGATGGGGGAAAATATTTTTTTGTATAATATTAATTCTAATTATTTATGCTTGGTAACATAAATGATAAGAAAAATACTGTGGTCTATCTTTGTCATTTGATACAAATCATACAGCTATCATACAGCTAAATTTACCACTTGTAGTTGTAATTATAACTGGAAATAATGCTCAAATGCACCATTTATGTACGGAGTAATATTTTGCATGATACGGAGTATTATCTTTTATTTTTGCACAATGCAAATCAATTCTATATTTTCAATATGCCCTGACAAAAAATGTATCCTATTAGTTAATAATATCATGATCTGCACACTTAGTTGGTCAAAATTTGATTAATTTTGCGTAAAGTACAACAAGAGCAACCGAAAAATGACCTGACCTATTTTTGATCCGAAACGCGATCCAAAAATATTGGATTTTGAACAAAAATTTTGTTAACCAAACCCAAAGTCAACCGAACTCGAAATGACCTGCTAAAAGTGGGTCAAACCCGACCGAACTCGAAACCGACCTCACCGACCCGCTAATGTAAGAACTTTTCAAAATTATATACGGAGTACTTTACTAGGAAATATAATGTTATAAAAATAAGGTTATAATTATATATTTTTTCATACTACTCATTTTTAGGGTGTAAATTTTTGTTTTTAGATAAAATTTTAATCATATTGTATAATTATCTTACTTTTTCCAAAAATTATGCATTTTTTCAGTTTTATATTGATTTAAAACTATTAGAATAATAATTAATAAATTACGGAGTAGTTAATTACGGAGTAGTTATTTTTGCACAATGCAAATCAATTCTATATTTTCAATATGCCCTGACAAAAAATGTATCCTATTAGTTAATAATATCATAATCTGCACACTTAGTTGGTCAAAATTTGATTAATTTTCCGTAAAGTACAATAAGAGCCATCGAAAAATGACCCGACCTATTTTTGATCCGAAACGCGATCCAAAAATATTGGATTTTGAACAAAAATTTTGTTAACCAAACCCAAAGTCAACCGAACTATTTAGTGTGTAAATGTTTATTTTTAGATAAAATTGTAATCATATTGCATAATTATCTTACTTTTTTCCAAAAATTATGCATTTTTTCAGTTTTAATCATATGCATTTTTTCATTTTTTAGATAAAATTTTAATCATATTGCATAATTATCTTACTTTTTTCCAAAAATTATATGCACCTAAAAATTACTTGGTAATTTAAAATAAAATAATATAATTGATTTAATACATAGTGTTTGATATTTTAATTTTATTTAATGCGAAATGTAAGTGTTAACATGACTTTAAAATTTTTAAAAACCAAAATCATAACCCGTTGGGTTGACCTGAACCTGATGATAGTGGGTCATGAACTTACAATTATCAACCCAAACCCAAATTAATTCAAATCTAAAATAACCCGAATTCGAAGTGACCGAACTCAAACCTGACCTGACCGACCGATTAGCCATTAAGCTCTAACCTCTAAGTACAATGCAACCAAAATGGCAAGAAAAGATAGAGAAAGGAGTGGCTAAAAATAATTCTTATTCGTCACAGAAGAGAACTTTATATGTTGACCGATGAAATATTCAAACAATTCAATTGGAGATCGAGCTAATTAATTAGGAACTGAAAGAAGTAGGGTGTATTTTATGTTAGCTCAAGTGGTTTAGACTCACTCACAATAACGACATTGTTTGATTTGCATTTTATCTTAGCACACTCTTGATCTAGAACCACTTTCTAGTGTATGACTTAGAAACTTTTGGAAATGCCTTTCAATGAGCTTTTTATATTTGAAATATTTGAACTAAATAGCACTAAAACTTAAGCCATTTTCTTAAATAGCATTTAAATTATTTTATTCCTTAAATAATGTCCATAATGTCCAGTGATGCCGAATATTTACTTGAACAATGACTAATGCATAATGACTAAAAGTACTACATTGGGAAGAAAAACATGTGTATGTGTGTACATATATATATACACACACACACACACACACACACACACATATAGAGTTTGGTTCTGGTGAGAATGCGATCTTAGGAGAGAAATGAGAATAAATCTGTTGCTTTAGATTGTTAGATATAAGGGTCAGGATTGCATCAAAATTAGATGCACCAAAATGGTTTGAAAATGCATCACGTCGGAATGCACCAAAATCTTTTGAAAATGCACTATCTCAAAATTTGAATGCAAGATGCAATCCGCACGATGCATCAGATCCAACGGCTAAATTTTATTCTCATTTCCCTCCACAAAGTGCATTCTCACGGAACCAGCCCCTATACACACACACACACACACATTACAAATTTAAAACTTAAAACTTAAATTTTTAATTATACACTTAAAATTTAAAAATTCAATTTTAAAATATAAATTTCTAGGTTTTAAATTTAATATTTGATATACCCAGAGTATAATTTTTAATGTTAATAAATTCTTTAGTTTAAAATATAAACTAAAAAGTTTTGTTTTAAAAAATCTTAATTTTTACTTTAAAAATTTTAGTTTTTAAATTTTAGAACTTTCAATTTTAAAATAAAACTTATTCATAATATGTTTTATTTTTATTTTTTTGATTTTTAATTTATAAAATGTAAATTTAATTTATAATTTTTTTTATATTTTATTTTTAATTTTTAATTCTTTTATCATAGACATTAAATTTTTAATATTAAAAATTTAAATTAGAAATTTTAAATTTTAAATTCCAAATGTGAAAGTTTAAATTTAGATTATTAAACTTTTTAATGTTTAATATTCTATAATTTTTTGTTTAAAATATAAATTTTAAATTTATGCTTTTAAAATTTTATTTTTTAATATTAAAATTGAAGTTTATTTTTTTAATAAAAATTTTTTAATAATCCCACCATTTCTTAAAACGGTTCTTGTTTTGACTTTGGGGCAAAATAAAAAAAGTGTAATTTTAGTTGACTTTCCAATTTTGCCCCTGATGTGATGTGTAAAAATAAGATGTGATAGTTTAATTAGTTATTAATGAAAAAATATGATATGATACGTAGAATATGAAAAAGTATGGGTAAAAGTTGTTTTTTAATAGAAAAAGGAAGTGTTTTAAGGAAAAACAAAAAAATGAAAGATGAAGGGTTTTAAGAAACAGAGAGAGTAATTAATTTTTATTTTTAATTGTTAATTGTTCATTATTAATTTTTAAACTTTAGATTCAATTAATAATTTTTTCTTTTTATATTTTATTTTTTATTCTTATATCTTAAACTTTCAATTCTAAATTTTTATTTTTTAAGTTTTTGAAATATTAATTTCTAAATTCTGAATTGTAAATTTATCCGTGAATTTTAAATTTCTATTATTCAAAATTTTAATTTTTACTGCCTTCGTCCCAAAATATTTGTCACATTTTCTTTTTCAACAAACACGGAAACTTTTATTTATTTATACATTTTCATTAATTATTTGATAAAATAAAATATTCTTTACACCTCTTATTTCGAATAATTTTTCATGTAGTTTTTTAATATTTAAATTTTATTTATCATTTTTTACCAATATTTAAATAAAATGAATTGAAAAACTTGTTATTTTGACTCGTTATTTGAAATATGGTAAATATTTAAGGATGGAGGGAGTAATTTTTGGTTTTTAATTTTTAATTTTACTTTTAAATTTTATTTTTATTTTTTTTAATTTTCAACTTCTAATTTTTAATGTTAAATGTTAAGATTTTATTTTATTAGATTAGTGTGTTTGTTTTTTTGTTTAAAACACAAAGCGTGATTTGATTTTGACCCGTAAAATTCAAATTTTGGATTTCCAATTTTTTGCATGTGCTATGAAATTCAAAATGTGGAACTGAAGATTTAAAATTAAAATTCAATTTCAGTTTCATATATTTTTGTAATAGCAAACAATAGAATTGGAATTAAAGCCTTCAATTTTAATTCATAGCTTGAATTTTGTGTATTAAAGAAAGCATAAGAGAGAGAAAGAAAAAAAGACTGAAAATTTGGAGCAAGGAAATAAAATTGAGCAATGCTAGGGGTACACCAAAGGTGTACCCCATTTATCGTCCACCCCTTTCTCCACCACTCAATTTGATTTTATTTTTATTTATTTAATCTGTTTTTAAACTCTTGCCTTTTTTTGTGGTGATGATAGAGGAGGTGTGGGACAAATGAAGTACACATTTGGTGTACCACTAGCATTTTTCAATAAAATTAGTTTATGTCCTTGTGTTTGGATATAATGATGAAGAAAATTATATTTAGTTTACCGCTTATTTATAACTAGAAATATTTGTACTAAATAGCACTAAAACTTAGGGTAATTTAAATACTCCGTAACACTTAAACTATTTTATTCATTATATAGCATTTAATAATGTCCAAAATGAGGAATTATGTCTAGTGATAACGAATATTTACTTGAATAATAATTAAAAGTGCTAGATTAGAAAAAACATATATGATGATATTTAAGAAGAGTTATTGTGTTTTAGTGTAGTAAATTCCCGTTACAACTATCCAACCTTTCCTCCCCTTTTAAAAAGTGTACCCCAAACATCCACAACCCTCTCCTTCAGCTCCCTCACAGTGGTTGTTTTGGTTCCAACCATATATGGGAAATTTCACACGGATCAAGCAAGCGTCGCTTTGATCTCCGAGCCGTCCACAAGAAGATCATAATCCGCGACCCTTTTGTGCACCTCCAGCGGCGTGGGAGGCAATCTCTCATCGAAGACCAGACTCAGACTGAATTTCCAGACGGGAACATCAGTGAACCTCAGGGAGACCTTTTTCTTAAGGTGGAGAATCGTATCTGTGGGCAAGATGTTGTTCACGGTTGCAATGATCTTGTTCCGATCGTCACAGATCTTCAAAGCCCTCTGAATTTCAAAAAAAAAACAGTGATCAACAAGAGAGATTAAGCCAAAATAAAAGAACTGTTATAAAATGAGAGAAAAACTACTCAAAGATTATGAGAATAGATATAATATATTTCTGATTTCTTCTCTCTATTAACTCTTCACTCTTCTTCTTATTTTTAATGGTGATTACAATGTAGGGATTAGGCCTCTATTTATAGTGGAGAGCCTTGGTATGGATACAAATACAAGTGGGAAGTACTGTACATAATTGATACTCATCAATGAGTGTCTTAATCTACTATTCTAGAAATTAGTCCTGATTAATTGAATAAATGAACAATCATTAATTTCATAACACTCCCCCTTGAATGTTCATTTTTCAATTAATGATGAGTACTTCGTGAAATGGACATAGTTTAGTAACCCATTCTAATTTTATGTACTGCCTCGTTAAAAACNAAGATCTTTCATCTCAAATTCTTTCATGAGATATTTTGCAGTATTTTCTATTTCATCAGAAGTTCCAATGATGTTTAAATCATCAACATATACTGCAATAATGGCAAAGCCTGATTTAGATCTACGGATGAAAACACATGGACTAATTGGATCATTTTTGTATCCTTCTCTGAGCAGATATTCACTGAGACGATTATACCACATTCTACCAGATTGTTTTAGTCCATATAGTGACTTTTCCAATTTTATGGAAAACATCTCTCGAGGTTTTGAACTATACACCTCAGGCATCTTTAGCCCTCCAGGAACTTTCATATATATGCCAGTATCGAGAGATCCATATAAATATGTTGTCACTACATCCATTAAACGCATTTGAAGTTTTTCAAATACAGACATGCCTATCAAAAATCTCAACGTAGTTGCATCAACTACTGGGGAATAAATTTCTTCATAATCTATCCCCGGAATTTGAGAAAAACCTTGGGCAACGAGTCGGGCTTTATATCTCACAATTTCATTTTTCTCATTGCGCTTACGCACAAAAACCCATTTGAAACCAACTGGTTTCACGCCTTTTGGCGTCGGAACTATAGGCCCAAAAACACTCCGTTTTTCAAGTGATTTCAATTCTGCCTGAATTGCTTCGTTCCATTTTGGCCAATCATGTCTACGTCGACATTCATCAACTAAAGTTGGCTCAATGTCATCATTTTCATCCATGATGTTTGTGCCAATGGCATATGCGAATATATCATCAACATGAACATCTTTTCTGTTCCATTGTAATCCCGTAGAAACGTAATTTATTGAAATCTCATAATTATCAACGTTTCTATCTTCATCTGAATTATTCGCATCTTCAAAGATGGTTAAATCCTCATTTGAAACAAATTGTTCATTGATATTATTTTTTATATCAACATGCTCGGTTCGTTCATTTTCTTTCTTTGAAGAATGAATGTCTTTTGTTTCAAGTATTGTCTCTTGTCTTTTAAGTTTTCTTGGTTTTACATCTTTTGAACCAAGTGGTCTGCCACGCTTTTTGCGTATTGAAGACTCATTTGCAAGAGTTTTTTCATTTTTCTCTGAAGGAATTTCAATTCTGGCAGAAGCATTCATAGCTGGAATATGTGACTTTGTCACTTTCTTTGAATCTGTGAATGCTTCAGGTAATTGATTTGCAACATTTTGTAAATGATTTATCTTTTGCACTTCTTGTTCGCATGCATTTGTTCTTGAATCAAGAAAAGATAATCGTGTTGCATTCCATGTAATCTCTTTCGTACATGGGTCCTTTTTCTCATTTTCTCCCCCTAAGGCTGGGAATACTGTCTCATCGAAATGACAGTCAGCAAACCGAGCTGTGAATAAATCACCAGTCATTGGCTCAAGATATTTTCTAATTGAGGGAGAATCAAAGCCAACATAAATTCCCAGCCTTCTTTGAGGACCCATTTTTGTACGATGTGGTGGAGCAATTGGTACATATACGGCACATCCAAATATTTTTATGTGAGAAATATTTGGTTCTTTTCCAGTAACCAATTGCAATGGGGAAAAAATATGATTTGCGCCTTAGCCGAATTAAATTTGCAGCATGCAATACAGCATGGCCCCAAATAGATGCAGGTAAACTGGATTTCATCAATAATGGTCTAGCAATTAATTGTAATCGCTTTATTAAAGACTCGGCAAGACCATTTTGAGTGTGCACATGAGCTACTGGATGCTCCACATCAATCCCAACAAACATGCAATAGTCATTAAATGATTGAGATGTAAATTCTCCTGCATTATCAAGTCGGATTTTCTTTATTGAATAATCCGGAAATTGAGCTCTCAAACGTATTATTTGAGCAAGGAGTTTTGCAAATGCAAAATTTCTTGAAGATAAAAGACTAACATGTGACCAACGTGTTGATGCGTCGATCAACACCATAAAATAACGAAATGGTCCACATGCTGGGGCAATTGGCCCACAAATATCTCCTTGAATTCTTTCTAAAAATGCAAGAGATTCAACTCTAATTTTATTTAGAGATGGCCTGACAATCATCTTTCCAAGAGAGCAGGCAACACATTGTAAATCAATTGATCTTGGAATCCTTATATTTTTCAATGGATGTCCAAGTAAATTTTGAATTATTTTGTGCATCATTACACTGCCAGGATGACCCAAACGGTCATGCCATAAAATGAATGTTTTCTGATCATCTAATTTTTTATTAGAGATAACATTCACTTCAACGGGACTAATGTGAGTATAATATAGCCCCGAGGAATATGCTGGCATCTTTTCACAAAGAATTTTATTGCCAGATTTGGTTGTCGTTAGACACAAGTATTCCTTTTGATTTTCTGTCATGGTTTCAATGTGATAACCATTTTGACGCATATCTTTAAAGCTCAATAAATTTCTTCGGGATTTGCTGGAATATAATGCGTCTTTGATAATTAATTTTGTTCCTTGGGGAAGGATTAAACAAGCTATTCCAGACCCTTCTTACTCGAAGCGTTGTGGTCTCTAACATAACTGTAATCAAAGGTAATTACAGTAAACTCTTTTTATAAGAAACAAAGAGTTTTACCACACGCAACACCGTGACAGTTAATCTGTAACAAGAAACGGTGACCTCGGTATTCGTCAATAGAGGTATAGAACTTATGTTTATTTATATATTTATTTAATAAGTTAAAGATAAATAACACAAATATCATACATTTTATTATCATTATTTTTTTAGAAGAGACATAATAATACAAGCACACATGAAAAATAAAATACAAATTTCCAACATTTATTAAAAAAGTAAACACACCATAACAGAGTAAATGAAAATGTTTAAATAGTAGTAGTTCCGCCAAAGGTCACTTCATCACCAATTTCAGCATCATCCATGTAGAAATCGGACACGTCAAATTTGGGCAAAATTGGATTGATATCATCAGCATACGGTTGCCAAAGGATCTATAAAAATCTAATGTCACATAGTAGAATTTCATTTCTAAGAAAGAACATAATAAACAAAAAACAAAAAATATAATTTCCAAAAAATGAGACATACGTGACGCTCCAAAAGCCCATCAAATTGGTCTCTAAAATACCGCACATTTTGTCGTGCGGTACGAGAGTATTCCTTAGACATCCTCCACCTAAAAATAAATATTTCACAATTTCATATTAATAAATTTTAATAAAAAGTTTGGAAGTACTAAAAGATAGAAGAAATAAAAAGACTTGGCACCATGTGGGTCACTCCCAGGTACATAATCATCATGCCGGTGTCGGGGAAGAGAGTGCACATCCGGACAAATAGTTGTGACTCGTGCCCAAGCCCAGAGTTGGAGAAGTAGCATACATCCACATGGACGGGCATTATTCACTCTAAGGGAGGCCCGACATAAACCACTAAATAATCTTGCAAGTACAGCTGAACCCCAACTAAAATTCGCAATCGTGTCAAAATCTCCCAGATATGATACGAAATCTGTAGGTGCAAAGCGGCCAGATGAGTCTGGAAACAAAAGACCAGCCAAATACCCATAGATGACCCGAGCTGTGTATTGCTCCACCTCCCGATTTGTCCATCCAGCATTTGGTTGAACTTGCTGTTCAGGATTTCATGGAAACAATTCTTTGATCTTAAATTGGTCAGGACGGCCCAGATGTTCATCAAGAGGTGTCCAGTTCAGAGCATGCAAAAAATCATGGTCTCTCTCTTCTACGGTGCGTCTCAACCCAAGAAATGCAAATCTGTTAACGGGGAGACCCAATAGACACTCTACATCCTGTAAAGTGATACCCATCTCTCCAAAAGGGAAATGAAAAGCATGCACCTCCGGTCTCCACCGCTCAATGAGAGCAGTGATTAAACCATGATCAAATCTAATTGGGTGCACACAGTGTACCACATAAAATCCAGCCCTCCGTAAATTTTGGAGAACTCTGGGGTCATGAAAAACAGTAGGGATGCGACTATGATATCTAACTGAAACTAGTTTATTGTCACAAAAATCCTTAAGTTTCCACACCCGACTAGAACGATGAGTACTCTGTAAATGTAACATGTCATCTATTCTAGGGCCCGCTATCTCTCTCTCCATCTCTCTTTCTCTTTCCATGTCATCCATTTTTGCACTACAAAAATTAAATAATAAAAAGATATTTTTTTATTCTTAATATTAGTGCATACAAAACATATCTATTTCGAAAAAAATATATATATTCATGTAAACACTATCTAAAAAAATATATTCATTAAAACACATAATTTAGAACAAAAAATTTTCCTACATTTTTACAAAAAATTCAAAATATTATGGAGCACATAGTTGATAATATTTAAACATAATCTATAATGAAACAAAAATGAAAACTAATAAAAACTTAACATTTATAATCAATATTATTAATATTTTAAAGTTAACTGAAATATAAGTAATAAAAAAATACCTGAGAAATGTTGAATGTAATGGACTAGTGTGAGGATAAGTTAAATTTGAAGAGTGATTAAAGTAGTGGGTGAAGGAGTAGTTTAAATAAAGAAAAATGTGAGTGAATTAAGAAGATGAAGGGGTGAGTGAAGTTAAATGGTTGGGATGGGAGTGGTTGTAATGTGTGGTGGAGTGGAAAAGGTGGGGTGGAAAAGTAGTGGAAAAGGGGGGTTTTAATGAAGGGTGCCGTGGTGGAGTGAAAAAGGTGGGAGTGGACTGTTTCTGCATGTAGCACATGCAAACTGGAAAAAAAAAGGTTTCTCGCATGTAGTACATGCGGTTTTACCCGGGCCAACTTTACTGACAAATCGTCAGTTCTGATTTTTTTTTAATTTTTTTGGGTTTCGCATGTAATATGTGCGATTGTCCTTCTGGGGAATTTAATGTTCCACTTTAGGAAATATATTTTCCTTTTTTCCGTCTGAGGGAAACCACCCCAAGATTTATTGGAGCAGGATTTATTGGAGCAGGATTTATGGGTGCTCCTTCTTGGGCCATGGAGAGTGAATTTTGGAGCAATTACCGATCAGTGTAGAATCTCAATTTGAGATTTCTATCAATGTAAACCGTGTTTGTTGAACACGAAATTCTTTTTCCCAATTAAAGTTGTGTTCGGCGAACACAACTTTGAATCCCTTAATTGAAGTTGTGTTCGGCGAACACAACTTTGAATCCCTTATTTAATTTGTTCTTCAAACATTAATTTTAACACAATCAAATGTATGATGCAATGGTTGAAACTACAAATTATAAAACAAAAAAAAATTAAACATAACATTGCATATTTAAAACAAAACATACACTAAATATTTAAAAACAACATAAACTAATATTTAAAAATAACATACACTAAATATTAAGACGACAACAAAAAAAATAACATAACACTGCATATTTAAAACAAAACATACATTAAATATTTAAAAACAACATAAATTCCCCCTGGAAGCGTTTTTTATCCTTTCGTTGTCCATTTCATCTCATTTCTCCCTGGAAGCGTTTTTGCCTGCGGCGACCGGAACGTGATATTTCTCCTTCAGGCCTTATCGGTGGCAATACTGGATACTCTGCATAATTAAAATCATTTGGAAATATCACCGGTCTAATTTGGCCGGTGTAACACATCTGATATCGTTGCACACTGTACATGTGAGAGACGCAATCATCCGCACGTTGTTTGAAAGAATGGAACAAAGAGTGTACATGCATGCATGGAACACCGTCTCCTTGCCATTGTCCACAAGTACATGACTTATTCTCCAAGTTGATCACAAAGTTGTACATATTCCCTGGGTTAGAGATTGAAGCCCTAGAGACAACGTATTGATGTCCGCCATAATGCATGGCCTGAAAGTTTTGTTTATTTTTTTCCCGGGCTTCAGAGATCTTCAAAATCTTTGGAGTAAACAGAAGATTTTGTCGTTGCCAATCCAAACAAGACCTACGACGTGACTCAAAAGAATCAACGAGTTTTTGGTACGACATCATGATAATAGCACTCACCGGTAACATCCGACAACCTTTTAGCATATTGTTGAAGCTCTCAGAACTGTTCGTGGTAAGTATCCCACATCGACTCCCATTGTCGTACGCTTGCGTCCACAACTGTAGCGGAATCTCAACAAGATATTGATATGCCTGTTCACTTTGACTTCGAATTTCCTGCATACAGTCTTGGAATTCCTGGACACTCGGAGTACTCCCTGCCGACCACATGAGGTCCTTGAGTTTCTTGTTGTGAAACTTTGAATTAAAGTTACTACGTATGTGACGTAGACAGAAACGCTTTACTATGTTTCCTGTTTGAAGCTCTTCCACATCGCGATAGGCGTTCATGATACCGGCATGCCTATCGGAAATAACACAAACTCTTTCCCCAGCTATAACTTTTTGAGCTACCAATCGTAGAAACCATGACCAACTATCAGTACTTTCCCCATCAACTACGGCATATGCATGTGGGAATATCTCGCGGTTTCCATTCAAAGCAACTGCGAGTAAAAGATGACCCTTATACTTGCCGTACAAATGCGTCCCGTCAACGGTCACCACGGGTAAACAGTGCTGCAATCCATTTATAGCCGCTGGAAAAGCCCAAAATGCATACTTAAAATTCACTCCAATTACGGGCTCGGTGTTCAGGTCTGTTGGTGGTGAGGTGCATACAAAATCCACCACGGTTCCCGGATAAGAAGAAACCAAAGCCTGTAGCAAAATTGGGACTTGCTTGTATGAGTTCTTCCAACTTCCGTACAATGTTTCTGAGGCAATAAGCCTCGCGAGCCAACACTTTTTGTACGACACAGGGACCTTGTAAAGTTCAGTCACCTCGTGCCGAATTAACTTTACCTTGTATTCCGGGTCAACACGCAATTTCCCAACAATCATCCGGGCTATGAATTGGCTTGTGATGTTGCGGTCGTCACCTCCGTGAGAGTAATCAGGACGACATGTGTGTCGTTGATGGTAGTTCTTTAATAACCAATGGTCTGATTTCTTCCCTTTCGCCGCTTGTGCACGCCAATAACACCGTGGATTCCCATCATGGTACCAACATCGGCAAGCCCAAGAGCGCTCTCGTTTGTACTCAAGGGTCCATACTTTGAGATCCTTTATGCAATCCTTTGTGATTGCATCTTCCAAAGATTCAAAACTTGGAAAAATCATATTCTCTTGCACTACAACATCGGGTGTGTAGCGTTTGCGACCACTCTCGGCTTCCTTACGTGTTTCTTCAATCCACCTTAATTCGGTTTCATCCCCATCAGAATTGCTATCTTCTAAATCGCTGTCACTTTCTGGGTTGTCTATAGCCTCAACGTGTTGTGCGATTGATACACGGCGTCTGCACATAGCATCTTCGGGTGGACGTGAAGTGCTAGTACCCACTCCGGATTGCTCGGCGGAAATGTATATTTCCAGCAACCCAAAATTCTTTGCTTTTGAAACAAAGACATTCCACATAGTTTCATCCTCGATGCCCATCACAGCGCATGAAGTACCCGCTCCTGTGTTGTACGGGATTTTTCCGGCAATTTTTGTGATTAAGCCGAACCCATCTTGAATCAAATGTATTTGAAATTGATTTTTGATGTGTTCCCATTGAAAACGATCATCCACTATCATCGTTTTTTTGAAATTTGTTGTGTAGGAAATATCAACTCCATTGTGGAATACATCCCCACCCCAATAAACATTTAGAATATGTTGCTCTGAATTTGACATTTGTTGCTATAAAATGAGAAAATTTTTTTGCTATTGATTGAAATTCTTCAAAAATAAGATGTGTATTTATAAAAAAAAATGAAGCTCCTTTGAAACAAAAAAAAGGCGGACTATTTGAATTTCAAATTTCGAATTCTGGCTTATATTGTGTTCGCTAAACACAATGTGCAGAAAAAGTCAATTTCGTGTTCGCTGAACACAATGTGCCAGAAAAGTGGTTCCGACGCAGTGACGCACTTCGTGTTCGCTGAACACAATGTTATTTTTAAAAAAAAATCAAAAATTAAATATTTAATTTCTTGTTTTTAAATACTTAAAAACAAAATTACTTTTACTACCATTACAAACGTAATACAAGGGAAATTTTTCTAATCAGAGTCTCTTTCATGCATACGATTGCGCGACGAAGTCCCGCCATATTGATACCCCGCCGTTGAATTGTAATTCAGAAAATCCATCATTCAATTTGAGTCCCCAAATTGTGACCCAAAAAGGTCGTTCTGAGTACCGCCACCGAGAAAAGTGTCCATCTCCTCCGCATGGCTAGAGCTCTCTGAATGTTCTGGCACGATCGGGGGAACGTAATTTGCAATCCTCTCCTGACGCTCGATATTCACTAGGGCTTCCGCCGCAACCTGTTGGATCTCATGTGCTGGCGCGTCTAACACTGAATCCCTCACACGCCGCAATGCATTCACCTAGAGTTAAAATAGATAGAGATTAGTATGTACAAAACTTTTTAAGGGATAAGAATGTCATATGACTTACCGCTATTGCTAATGATCCCGCAGAACCATCCACACCAATCTCTAGGTGGTGTGCTGGGTTACGTATGAACCGACGACCATAAAAGTAAAACCAATTAATGTAGTTCTCAACACAACCATCTCCAACATAGTTTGGCGGAAGTGGCTCCATTTCATCTTCCACTAAATGGTTAAATCGGTTGTTACGCCACTCATTGTACGTCGGGATAAAAGCCTCTCGCACGGTATTGCGGCCATCTGCCCTATGCAGTTCATGAGAATAAGGGAATGAAAGGTTAGGAATCTGTTGCCACATTCCAAATTGCCGGGCAAATCTCTTTGGCATGTGTGGCTCTATTACTAAGTCAAATATGATGAAGCCTTCGTAAAACCACAGTTAGCGGCCGGCCTGACAATAATCTGGTAATGCCCCTAAATTGTACGGAGTCCAAACAACCTGTACAATACACATAAAATATTAGTTTTTTTAAAATTAAAATTTAAATATTGACTATCTAAATTACATACGTGTCGAAGAAGTGAACCGTCAAATTGGTCTCGGTAGTTACGAACAGAAAATCGAGAAGTGCCATTAAACAACCTCCGAATACGCCACCTGCATAACAAAGTAAACATATTCTAGTGTTCAGCATAACTAATAAATTCACATTAAATTAAAACAAGCGTACCGAGCACCATGTGGCTCATCCTCTCGAAGTGGGCCATGTCGATCATTGTTAACCACGCGCACTTCGGGCCTCACTAGAATGATACGTGACCAAGCCCAAAGCTGTAACAACAAAGCACAACCACAGAATCTAGGCTTGTCGGTTTTTTTAAGTGCAACTTTACACAAGTTGCGATACAAGTTTGCCAAAACTGCCGAACCCCAACTAAATTGTGCAGTAATTTCAGGAGTGCGCAATAAGGGTAGAAACTCAACAGGAACAAATCGACCTGTAGAATTGGGGAACAAGGTACCACCTAAGAGTTGTAATATCACACTAGCTTTGTATCTCTCCGCCTCCCTGTCAGTGTTACCGGGTAGAACCTGTCGCTCATTTTCATTGTCAATATTATTCTCCAATGCAGCTAAATTAAACCCGGCTTGTCCAACATGTTCGCGCATCACCTCGAATCCAATAACTTCACGAAAAAGATCAACATATGTATTCGGATTAACCATTTGAGGAAAAACTACGGGTTCCCCGTCTACTCTTAAACCTATTAAACATTCAACATCCTGTAAAGTGATACCAAGTTCACCAAACGGGAAGTGAAATGCATGCACTTCGGGCCTCCACCTTTCAACGAGGGCCGTAATCAAACTATGGTCTATTTTTATGGGGTGGACCCGATGTACCCCATAAAACCCAGACCTTTTCAAATTTTGCTCAACCCGGTCATCCCTAAATTTTTCTAAAATACGAGAATCGTTCCGACATACTGATACTTTTTTATCCGCGAAAACCTAATCAGACCAAACACGATTGGAATGATGAGTGGCTTGAAGTGTGAGCATATCATCATTCATCGGACCAGCAAGTTGACGCTCTATGTCCTCCATATCTGCATAAAACAATCGTCAAAGAAAAAAATTATTAATAAAACAATATATATATATATATATATATATCATTTGACTCAAGCATTACATAATAAAAAAAATACCTTTGGTTGTTAGCAAGAGAAAATCGGAAATTTCAAGAATTGGAATGACAAAATATTCAAATTTTTTTGTTATGAAATCGGGATCACTGAACACGGATTATATAATAGGAGAAGTCGGGTTCAGCGAACACAAGTTTGACCAACTTTAATAGGGGTGGCGTGGGGAAGCTGCCATCTTTAATGTTGGGAGTGGCTTGGGGAATCCAACAGCTTTATGGAAGGAGCAGCACGCGTGATAAGCCTTTTTTGCTTTTGAAGCAAGTTGTGTTCGCCGAACACGATTTTAATAATATTTCAAACTCGTGTTCTGTGAACACGATTTCAATTAATATTTCAGAACTTGTGTTCCGCGAACACGATGTCAATTAATATTTCGGAAGTCGCGTTCGCCAAACCCGTGTTTCACTGATAGGAAATACTTTTGAAATTTAGGAATTTGTAAAGTGTTTTTTTCACTGAATGGGAAACCACCCGTGAATTTTGGAGTGATGTGATTGATTGATTAGAGAGAAAGCAGGTGGCGGCTGTAATAATTAAAAAAGGTAATGATTGTGATAGGAAATAATAAAGTGGTGGATGGTTTATATACTCCGTATAAAGGGAGTAACCCTAGCCCTAGGGTTACCTACCAAGACTAGGGTTTGGGGCATTCTTTCTTTCTTCTTCTTATTACCCATTTACCCCCCCCCCCCCCTTACTCGTTTTTTTTACTCCGTAAATGTGAGTATTACTCATCTATCCCTTACTCCAGGTCTCCAGCGCATGGTTTAAAAAATTATCGGCTAAATGTTAAAGTAGATGATTAACAGTGTTATAGCAATTGATTTTTATTCTCACACTCCAATGGGATAATGCATATTTCTATATTTTATTGGTTGTTTTACTTTTCATTTCTCTCTCCTCAAACATGTTTCCATTTCCTTGATTGCAATTGGGCCCCATTACACTGAATCACCTATTGTATCCCATTATTTTATCAATTTTTTAATAATAGAAGACCAACAGTGAACTTCTATTTATGAAAGAGGAGCAATTCCCTGAATGGGAACTTTTTAGGGAGTAAATTCCTCACCCAAACAATTGCATGTTGTACATGCGGTTTTTTTTCTTTTTTTTTTCAGAAATTTTGCATGTCATACATGCTAAAACATCAACATCAAGTTCCTTTTCCAGATGGTACCACGCAAGTGCAAGCTTTTGACAGTTTTTTTTAAAAATTATTTCGCATGTACTACATGCAAATAATATTATATATTTTTAATACAAAATGTCACTTTTTTATTAAATAATATCTCCCCAAATGCATATATGGTTCCTTAAAGATTATATAAATAATATTATATATTTTTATATATATAATTTCTTTACATATCATTAAATATGTATTATTGAAATTTTTGAATATCAACATCAATAATAAATTTAAGAAGAAAATATGATTAAACATTAATTATAATGAACCATTTTTAAGAAAGTACACAACATAAAAAACACATAGAAAAAAAGTACAATTATTTGAACACATAATAAAAAAGTACACTTAAAAAATACTTAAAACATAATTATTAATTTCCCCTACGATCCATCTCTCCCGAATAACGAAGTTGTTGACGACGTCCTCGACGGGGAGTCTCTTCTAAAGGACGTATCGGTGGCAAGACTTTCCAATCACCAACATTCAAATTTTCTGGAAAAATGAACGGTTCAATCCAACCACTGTAACAACTTAAATATCTTTGAACAGAGTATTTGTCTGGAACAAGAGCATCTGCAAGTTGTTGAAAAGAATGATGCACGCCATGAACATGCACACAAGGAATTCCATCTGCAATCCATTGTCCACACGTGCAAATGTTATTAGCCAAATCCACCATATAATTGTACGTAGCACCTGGATCAGAACGAGAAGTATGGCTAACTATATACCGATAGTTACCATAATTTGTAGCTACCCACTTGTGCTTTGTCTTCTCGCGGTGTCGAAGAATTGTTGTGATTTTAGGAGTTGTGTGGATGTTCTTCTGCATCCACTGAACAACAATCTTGTGCCTTTTTTCATCAAACACCACATTCCGACTAAGGATAACTCTATTTTCTGAAGGTGACCAAATTCTATACCCCTTGACTCCATCCCCATAGCCAACAAATACGCCCTTCTTTGCTCTTTGTTCTAGTTTACCCTCACTCACGTGATAATAAACTGTACAACCAAAAGTTCTCAATGTAGAGTAATCTGCAGGTGATTGAGACCATACCTCGAAAGGTGTTTTGCAGTCAATACCGGTGTGAGGTCCACGGTTAATCAGATAACACGCCATGTTTACTGCTTCTGCCTAAAACTTTCTAGTCAAACCAGCATGAAAGAGCATGCATCTTGCTCTTTCCAGTAGTGTCTGATTCATGCGTTCTGCCACACCATTCTGCTGTGGTGTATCTCTAATGGTGCGGTGTCGAACAATCCCTTCGTTCTTACAGAACTCATTGAACTCAGACGAACAGAATTCCAGACCATTATCAGTTCTCAATCGCTTGATCTTCTTCCCTGTCTGATTCTCTATCAAGCCCTTCC